TGCTGGATTACGACAACTTCAAGCCCATCGTTGGAGGCCTGATTGTCGTTTCCCTCCTCGTGGGTTTGCCTGTTTGGCATCTGATCTTATTTGGCATCACCAAGTTACGAGATCATCTTCACAGGAAGTATAAAGCATGAAGTGACACTAAGTGAAATGACGTAACGTGACCTCAGAAGACATAACATGAAATGACATGACACGACGTGAAATAAGACAACATGACACGTGACATGACATTACACCACATTAAATGCATAACATGACATATGCCATTATATGAGATGACATGACATAACATGAGAAGTCATCACATGTGAAGAAATGACATGATGAGACAACGTATAACACCACATGACATAACATGATATGACGTCACTTAACTTGACCTGAAATAATATTGACATGAAAAGACATTGCACGACATTAAACGACATGACATGACATGACACGACCTAATAATGACTTGAAATGACGTGACATGACATGTGACATGACGTGACGTGACGTGACATTAAACGACATCAAATGCATAACATGGCATGTGGCATTACATGACATGACATGACACGCCATCACATGCGAAGAAATGACTCGATGATGAGACAACATATAACACCACATGACATNACACTACATCAAATGCATAACATGACATATGACGTTACATGAGATGACATGACACGCCATCACATGCGAAGAAATGACTCGATGATGAGACAACATATAACACCACATGACATGACATGATATGACATCACTCCACTTGACCTGAAGCAATATTGACATGACAAGACATTGCATTAGATTACATGACATGACACGACACGACCTAATAATGACTTGAAATGACTAGACTTTAAAAAGCTTTCAAGGAAGGCTTAAACAAATATTTCTCACGGTACATGATAGAACACAGCTTGACTACTCGGCTACATAAGCAAGGTAGCGTATATCACTGGGTAGTTATCTAGGCGTCACAACCAAACGCGTTCTGTTAGTCCACTAAATTTGTCTTCATTTAGTTTAGCATAGTTTATTCATTTGTAGCATGGGCAATTCTTTCCTGTGTAAAATCCCGTAGAAAGAGAGAACCTAACAATTCGCGATGTCATGCTGGTAATAGGCGAGTATAGAAATCAATTTAAACTTAAGTGTGCAAGATGACAGGGAAAAGATATATAATGATCTCAAGAATAGAAGGTTTTCCATTTTTATGCAGAGCTCTAAGTATATTAGCGAAGAACTTGTTTCTGTAAAGGGAGATGTGTATATTTGCATCCATCCACGTC